ATCATATCATGGACCAGGAGCATAGGAGACCTTCCTAAAAACAGAGACATCGTATTATCAAACAGCAGCTTGCTGATCAAAGACATTAAGAAAGAGGATGGTGGAATCTACCTCTGCAAAGCTGAGAATATACTTGGAAAAGTGCCTAAGCATGCGCAGATAATGGTTTTATCTTCGCTTGTATTTACCGTAAGACCTCGAGCATATTTAATACTGTTTGTAGGAATGAAAGCTGTGATGGATGTCAAGCTGCTAATGAACTAGAGTTAGTTTGGATGAAAGACAACAAACCGCTAGGTGGTTCTGTCATCGTCAATTCCAATGGAACTCTGCCCATTAATAGAGCTAGTACTCAAGATAGTGGGTAATTATGCATGCATCGTTAGAAACTTCCATCGATCCACTAGAACAACAACTCAATTACTAGTCAGGTATAATGCCAAGTCTTGTAGTGAACTTAAGAAGTTACCAAATTTACCATCAGGAAATTATGTCATAGATCCCGATGGCCAATCAGGACAGTCTCCATTCACTGTGTATTGTGACATGACRGARAAGGGAGGWGTGGGAGTAACTGTTGTCAGTCATGYTAGCGAGGSTAGGACTCTTGTAGATGYTTATGAATCGGCAGGTTCTTATAGTAAAGATGTTCGTTACAATGGTGCARCGATGGCTCAGTTGGCAAAGCTGACTCAAATATCAACAAACTGTGAACAGTTCACTAAATTTGAGTGTAAAGATGATGTCTTRTTTKTTGATCATGGCATAGGTTGGTGGGTATCACGTGACGGTGTTCGTCAGAACTACTGGGGCGGAGCAACARCAGGGAGTAAGAAGTGCGCATGCGGTATGACCAACTCGTGTTCACACAGCAATGGTGGTTGTAATTGTGGTAGTAGCGGTAGTGGCTGYCGTAGCGACAGCGGTGTGTTAACTGACAAAACAACTCTTCCTGTATCACAATTACGATTTGGTGACACTGGTGACAGTAACGAACAAGCCTATCACACACTTGGTAAACTGAGATGCTACGGATAACAAAAACTAAACTTTCACTATTTTTACCGGTGTAAGCGTGTATTGATAACATTAGTCTAATATTACGCTCTATCAAAGAGGCATTTATTATTGACTAAAAAACAATAATTATAATAATAATAATAATAATTATAATAATAATAATAATTATAATAATAATAATAATAATTATAATAATAATAATAATAATAATTATAATAATAATAATAATAATAATTTAACATTTATATAGCGCACGGTCCATAGAAAGATGCTCCCATGCGCTTTACAATAATATGATTAATATGATATAAGAATGATATATATATATAAACAAAAACAATAATAATGAGAAAGATAAAATAGATAATAATAAATAACAAAAATAGTCACTTGAGTTTATAGCAGTTGATATGCTTTCTTAAACAAAAATGTCTTAAGTCTTA